CACGATCACTACCCCGCACACGCAGCCTCTCTTCGCTCAGTGCAACCACCATGTCCGTTGACCTATCTAAAGTTCCCGGATACGAGCTAGCCCCGAAGCCTGCATGTTGAGCTCTGCCGCTTCCTGTCCATATGCTGAACCAGCTGCAGGTGTCATGGAATAAGAGAGACCTGCTCATTTACGCGGCCGGTGTTGGCGCAAAGGCCGACGATCTTCGCCTGGTTTACGGTATGTTTCTCATCCGGTCATCTGTGGGATTGGGCCTATGCTCTTTGCAGAACTCGGTGAGTGGGAATGCAGTGGTATGAAACGCTTCTGAATCCGAATCAGACAAATCCTTCGCCGCTATCCCAACCTATCCTGTCGTTCTTTCGTTCAAGGGTGATAGCCAAGAACTCAACCTGTTCGCGAAGGCGGCTATCGGGACGCCTGTTCCGGGCATGCCCCCGCTCAATATTAACAAACTCGTCCATGGAACGCAGTCGATCGAGATTCTCAAGGAACTGCCCCTTGTTTCCGGGCCCGGATGGACTTGGACCACGCGCTACACTGGAGTGGTCGAAAACAGTAAGATTGGCCCGCTTGCCTGATTTGTATTGCTCATGCCAACACATCCAGAGAGCGGCATCGTCTTGAGCATGGAGAATGTGCTCAAAGACCCCAGCGGTGTTCCTTACGCTAAGCTCTATGTTCGTTTCACTCGATGTAGTGTTCCGGACCGTGGTTTGACAAAAAAAAATCAGAGCTCGTCGTTCAACATCGGTGCCAAAGCTACAGGCGACAAGTACTCCAAAGTGATCGCCGGTCCGCCTCAAGGAAAGCCGATTCCCAAGGACCGCAAGCCCGATTATGTGGTGCAGGACCAAACGACGCCCGAGCAAGCGATCATGTTCCGGCTAAGTGGAGATTATAACCCTCTCCATATCGGCGAGTCACCGCGAGTTTCGGCAAGCTTCGATGTGTTCTGATGCAACGCAGACCCGGCCATTGGCCAAGCTGCAGGATTCGGCGGTGTTATCTTGCACGGTCTCTCCACCTTCGGCTTCGCTGCCCGGGGGCTTATCAAAGCCGTCGGAGGTGGCGATCCAGCGAGCCTCAAATTATACGGGGTTCGTTTCACATCTCCCGTCAAGCCCGGCGATGCGCTGGAGACCTCCGCGTGGGAGGTCGGACCTGGCCCCAATGGAACGGTCGAACTGGCCTTTGTGACCAAAAACTTGAACTCCGGGAAGGTGCGCAGATCTCCGGTTGTGTATTGATCATTGTGTGATATCCTTGGTGCAGATCGCTCTGGGAAACGGCATCGCCTACATAAAGAAGGCGTCCACGTCAAAGCTGTAGTTGTGTACATCCATCCATTGTGCATTCCATATCATTCACTGGAACGTGTTCTTACGGAGCACCCGCGCTCGATCTAACAACGCATCCGCTTCAAAGTAGCAGCCTTTGAGCCACCGATTCGGCTCCCCTTCTTTCCCTGCTTCGCCTTCGCGATCATGGAACGCCGCGCGCGCGTGCAAAACGCGTCGATTGTCGAATATAACCGCATCTCCCTCGCGCAGGGTGTAAGAAAAAGTCCGCTGAGAGTCCCCCAGAATCCCCGCGTATTTCGCCAGTGCCTCGTAGAACGCCACCGGCGTGTCAACAGGCAGAGGCGCCTGGAACGGCGGCGAGTAGTTGATCTGGCTGATCTGACCGTCCTCGAGCTCGATGGTGCTGTGCGCGTGGTGCAAATGGTGCCCGTCGTTGATGTAATGGAACAGAACAGGCTGAGTAGCGAGAAGATCGAATGCCTTAGGATCCGCTGCTTGCAGGGCCTCGGCAGCACCAAAGGCATCCACGAACAACGACGACCCTCCCTCGACTCTGTTTCTGAGGCAGTGCAAGATCTGGTATTTGGGCGGGTGCTTGAAGTATCTGCCAAACCACTGTTCAGCGACAGACCGTGAGACTGTATTCCCGGAACGGACTCACAGCAGGTCCATGTGCAGCCCGAGATCGAGGTTGGTGTACGCGATGTTGCGGCTGTTGCGTAGATTCACCACATCCCAAACCTGCCCGTAGAATGTTTCGCGTATGTAGCTGAACTTGCTGGCCAACGCGCGCAACTCGCAGCCCGAGTCGCTCGTCTCTGCGTTCGGCACCCCCGTCTATAGAACCGTCAATCGACCATCTCTGCGCAGGACGCGCAACGCACTACAAACAGCAGCCCATCCTTGATGAGCTGCTCCATAGCCGCTGCGAGTCCGGCCTTGTCCCGCAGAGTCCCGTACTTGACGAACAGATCCGGATTCCGGCTGATCTCAGCGCGCCCCCAAGTCCTCGCCGTCAAGTCTGCATGGAATTTCGCCAGATGTGTTGCAGAAGAATGCCGCTGCAAGAAGTCGCGATGGAAGAACGACCGGTGGCCATCTAGCCAGTCGATTTGGAGCCCGTCGGTCGTTGGCCGGACGCCACCCTCAGCAGGCCTGATGTCGCGCGGGATATCAGAGGAGCGGTGGAGTTTCTGAGAAGTTGAAGGATGGATGCAATCGGAGGATTGGCACGAGTCCCGTAGCCACACAAAGGGAAAGGTCGCATTTAGTGCGTCGACCACCAACCCTTCACCGGAACGGGCCGTGGAAACGGATGTCCAATTACGTACAGATGGGCGCGCGATGCGCAGTGCACGATGCACCCGTGGCCTCAGCAAGGACATTACTACGAATCTAGTCAGGGAAAGAAATGAGAGAAGTCCAAGCGCGTTCCGGGCCGCCGCATGTTTAATGAGATTCTGATGATAAATGCAGCCAGTCCGAAATCTTTCACGTGTTACATAACATGCAGTGCACTAAGATGCGGTCCGGAGCACGAAATACGCGATGATAGCAAGCAGGACGGCCAACACAGACACAATCTGGCCCGCGAAATCGGACCAGAGATCGTTCAATTCGAACGACGGTCTCAGCGGCGGATGCACTTTCACTTGGACGCGATGCTTGAGAACATCTCCGCCAGTGACGATGTAGAGGGTCTGGCGCTTGGGATCATAAGCGTACTTGTCATCTGGACCCAGTCCATCCACGACAAGTTTGCGGCCCTGAGTGATGGACGTGGGCAGGAAAATCTCTGTCTCCTTTGAGGTCAGGATGTCGACATCAGACGTCCATTCGAATACGAAAGCACCCGAATTCATTTCGTACTCGAAATGGGTGGGCACTCCGGCAGTCTTGGCCGGATAGGGTCGAACGACGGAATTCAAGATCCGACCGCCCTGATCCAACGACGGGGCATCTTGCTCGTAGTAAAGCAGAGAAGCAGGCAAGGCCCGCCGTTGACTGAACCAGGAGAAGTTCTCTCCGTTCCAAAAGTCCCCGGCTGGGTCAGTGTTGTAAGGATTGTAGTTCCACAAGCTCAAAATGGAGTCAGCCAGGACCGGATGCGGCTGAGAAGGACGCCTACGTAAAGCCAACCAAGGCTGCTTCAAGACCGGTGATCATTGCATCCATCATGCGAGCTTGCCATGTGAAATTTTCGGTGTCAAAGGCTTCACCTTTGCTAAGAGAGCGTGAATCAGTGCATAACGCGAACAAAGATGTGGAAACCAACTTCATGTCCATGGGGATTCCGCATTCCCCGATCAGAACAGGCTTTTCCCCGAGTGATTTGTGAGCTTCTTTCACGATGTTCGTAATTTGCAATGAAAAGTTGTCCCTGGCCCCGGTCTGGCCCCAGTAGAACGCTCTGAGAGGGAACATACCCTGCCAGAAGATCTGAGCACAGATGATCTCAACTCGGCATCGAACTTACCCTGGAAAGCCCTTGCACATTCACGGTAAAGTCCCCAAATGCTTTAGCGAAGAGCGCGTTCAGGTCATACCAGTGAGGCGCATAGACCATATTTGGGACCTGATTCTCGGTGGTCCACGAGGCAGGGCAGAACTAAGCTGTCTGTCAGACCTCTCCTGGACGCGAGCGCGGAATTACCTCGTTGGGGATAGCTTCCAGGAAGACCAGCTTGGAGGATGACGAAACGTGCGTGACTATTTCGGACCATCTCTTCACGAACGGATAATAGAAGTCGGTGTACCAATCAATCTGAGCTGGTTCAGCTCCAGATACACAGAATAAGGAAGAAGACCTTGCCTCCTTGCCGGTCAGAGGATGCTGGACGAAGTAATTTTCTCGCAACACCACTGCTGTGTTCTTGTTCCGGTCCCAGCCCCAGACCCCGTGCATAGCCCAGATGCATTCCCCCTGTGAAGGCCCATCAAGCCGCCAGACCTTGCGGCCTTTCTCATTGAGCACAGCCTCGGATGTCTTGCTGGTTGGCATCGGGAACGACCGGGTATAGACAGGGACAGACGTAGGATGGCCAGCACCCAGTTGGAAAGATTGGAATGCAGAAGCTTCGAGACGTCATCACGATTGCTCCGGCAATCAGGCGGGCACTTACGAGTGTAGGACAAATGAAGGTCCGTGTTGTAGTCAAAAGCGTGCATGGATTTGAGCTCGATGTACCCACGGTGCGGCTCGTTCATTATCTAAATATGTACGTCAGTATCTGATTCCGGTCCCCAATGCCATCGCACCTCGAATCCAAGTACTGCGGGGAGATCGCCGATGGCCTTGGCGAACACTTCCCAAGCTCGGAGAAAATGATCCTGCAGGAATTGCTGGATATTATGCTGGGAGCCATTCTCGTCTGTGATCCTAAGTTTGGGAACGAATGTGTCGCCAGCCCAGAAACACGTCCTGGAAAACACAATCAAATCAAGTCGTATCGCATCAAACGGCCAGAGACGCACGCCATCGTCGCGGCCGCAAGTTTCTGGTATCCAGTGGGCCAGATACCACGCTCTTCTTCGACATGTCCTCCGCCTTTCACACCCAGCAACCACGCTGCGCCCGCCTCTTCCAGCGCGTGTAGATCGAACCCAACACTCTCAAGCGTCCAGGCCGGTGCACCGGACCCTCCGGAGTAGCGCGACCATACGTCCTGATGCATCGATACGAAGGCGGACATGCCGTATTCAGGCAGGAGGGACAGCAACTCGCGCACATATTGCACGTATTCCATGTCGTAGATGCCTCTACGAAATTGGAGATTTGAGGCAACGAATGGGACGCGACACGTACGGTCCAGCGTGTTCAATAGCTTCCCAGGTGAAGAGAAAGCGGACTGCAGACGACGGTAAGCCAGCAACTCGCGATCATAAGCTGAACAGAGAGCATACCAAACGATAACCCCCACCTCCTGAGCCGGGCCAGATGCGCCGGGGCTTCTTCTAGCGGAAACGGCCGCCCGACAAAAGTGACGCCCTTCGCACCATGAGGGAAAGTTGCATTGTCATCATTCGAGGGGCTTTGGGCAAACACGGTTGAGTCGCACTGCAAGACGCGAAAAGCGCCTCCGTCCTACTTGACATGGACACAGAGCAGTCGCAGACTCACGTTTTACACGATCCGCCGAGATTCACACCGCGCAGCTGGCATGCGCGTCCGTGTCCATCAATGAAATGCCGCCCGTGCGCCCGCACGCCTCCAGCCGTGCCCTCGTCGGACCAGTCATGCGCGTATGTCGAAGCGCTTCCTGGAACGTATTTTGTGTGATTCAGGGATGGGTGGTTAGGTTTCTGAATGGACGACGGTACTTGAGCTTTATGCCACTTTTGGGCATGATCTACTCACAGGTTTGGCGGGGGCTATAGGTCCTGCAGGACTATCCGAGCCAGAAGCAGACTCTTGGCCTACGAGAATGAATGACGCTTCGGAATCGGAGTTTGCGGGACTAGGCATGGGTGTGCAAGTCGCAAGTTTCTGTCAAACGTGTGCAAACGCGGCTATCTGAACTACACCGACGCGCCCGAAAAGGAAATTTGCATTCAGCGACTACCCATCCATCAATCATGTAGCTACGGATCGTCATCGTAAGATACAGAGAGCACCCGGTGTAACGTGAAATGCAAATAAGATAATGTACATCTACAATGTGTTTAATCACGTATGTAATCTATGGGGACAGCGAGTGAAATGACCAGCACTAATCGATGATGTTAAGTTCCTTCGTTCGAGCCTTGGCAAAGATGTCTTTGTATGTGTTCCATATTCTTGAAAGAACTGATATCAGTACCTCTCGAGGACGTGTAGACAAGTTGATACCTCTCCAGTTCTTCGATGTATTGTTTTTGCACGGAGATGATTTCCTCCAGCGCAGGGTTTTCTGAACGCGTGACATGGATCGGCCTTCCAACTGTGGTGAAGGTCAGAGCAAAACATGGAAAGTATACTGAATCCACTCACTGACAGCCACGATTTGCCGTCTATACGGCATCAGACCGATGTTATCTGAGACAGAGAGTGAGACGAGAGCACGATTAGACGAATACAACAAACAATTTAGAAGCCCTCTCCCATGGAAGAGAGGCAGCGTGAACCCAAACATCGACTTGAAGCTCGATTGCAGCCTGAAGATGGTCGTCCCACGTTCATTGTGCATTTGCTCGTATATCTTGGATCGTGATGGGTCAGAGGATAGACTTGAAGAGGGAGATCTCTTACGTCATTCTCGCCAAAGGAGAACACGGGAACCAGGTCCGCGCTATGCGCTCATCAACCGAAACGCATTCTTGACAAACGAAGAGGGCATACCCATTCCTTATGGCCAGTTTGATGAATCCCAATCTGACCATAAACTATCTTCAACAAGATTATCCCACAGACCTGTTAACGCACCGTTTACGCAGTGTCAAATCCGCTGTCCCAGGATGAGCACTGAGACTCTCCGCCGCGCCTCCGACCACGATCGTAATGGCTGACCCAGGACCCGCACTGAGTATGTTCTGACAAGATCGCTTGCTAACGCTGCAGATTCCCATCGACAACAACGCTTCCCGATAGAATGGAATGTTGAAGTTGCTTGAGAGGGTGAGCAGGTGTGGTCTGATTCCTGGGAAAGCTTGCGAGAAACCCGTCGCTGTTCGTCGTCGAGTTAGAGAGCACTATAGCACATCTCCCACTCATGCGCACCTTCCGTGGCAAAGGTCGCGACCGCACCCCTAGGTATGACGTCAACTTCGAACGCAAGATACATGTCCTCTGCTGCACACTCACATCCCGATGATACCTGGCCCAGGCTCAGTAAGAAGCAGAAGTTACGAGATAGAAAATACCATGAGGATGGTAACCGAACAGATACGGTCGGTCGGCCGGGAGATCAGCTTCCTGTGGTGAAACTGTGAGAATAGGGTCCTTGCACATTACGCACACACCCTGCCTTGAGAAATCTGCATATGCCAATGCGTCAGCCCACGGCAATGATTCAGAGGAAATCCAACACACGAAGCAGGATAATAGTCCGCAAAGTAACTCCAAAACTTCAATGAGCGAAACCACTGGCTGCTGCGACCGCCGTGCTCCGGACTTTGGTCGATCCAGTGCATCCACACCAAGTACAGAATCAAGGCCGGCCATAGCGATGGATACGAGCTGCACATAGTGAGGCGATGGCAAGGCGGGGAGTCGAGGGATGGACGCGCACCAGAGGAAAAGAAAGAAAGCGGCCGCGAGCGGGATAGCTACTGACCAAAAGGCCACTGCCAGCATCTGCAGCCTCCGTTTCGGGGGAATCCGTGCTGGAACAAAGCTGCAACACAGTCGTCATCGAATGAAACGATGAGGGCAGGCGAGGACGGACTTGATGTTGGCTTGCAGTGCAGTCGCAACGGGAACGAGTGGTGCTGAAGTGAGCACGGAGAGTCGGCCTTTCAGATTGAGCGAGGTGGCGGAGAGAGAGCGCGACGCATTTGAGAGCCGTGTCGCCGACATGGTCGAGCGAGCGGTGAGCGAGCGACTTTTGGATAGCTTGGATGCAGCCTGATATTGTGGAACGCGTTGACGCGTGTTGTGATCGCCCTACCGCGGATAATACTAAACCGGAACCCGGCATGAACTTTCTAGCACTTACGCAACTTTACAACACTGGTCTACTGGCTTCTACTGGTCGTGAGTTGCATTGATTGGATTTTATCATGTTCGAGACTACAAATCAATTCTAGGCATACAAGTCGTCATCGGCCGAGTCCTCCGTGAACCCTGCATTTCCAGACGCCTGGGCTGCAGGAGCAGAGGAACCTTCACCCTCTGGGAACTTGAAGTTGTTACCGAAACCCCGGGATTGCTGCAGATTCTGCGAGAACATCTCGTAACGACGGATGTCCTGATCAGAAACCGAGCGACGAGCGAATTTCATAGCCTCCTCAAAGTGCTCTCTGTATTACATATCAGCATCGTGAAAGGTTGGCTATAGATCAGCCACGTACCTTGTAATCTCGGGAACGGGGTCATCCTCCTCAGCCTCATCCTCCTCGACTTTCATAGCGTCATCGCCGGCCGCTTCATCCTTCTCCTTCTTTTCCCGGGCCCGACGGATATCAGACTCGATGCTCGCCCGGATGGCCAGCTTCGCAGCGCGCTGACAGATCTCCGTCAAGTCGGCACCAGAGAAGCCGTGAGTACTTTTGGCCAAGAAGTTGAGATCCACTTCGGGAGATACCGGCGACTTCTTGAGGTTCGCCTTGAGAATAGACAGACGCGATGGTTCATCGGGGAGAGGAATGTAGATGAGCTGGTCGAGACGACCAGGACGAAGGAGAGCCGAGTCAATCTGATCCGGTCTGTTGGTGGCACCGATGATAAACACGTTCTTCTTCGCATTCATACCGTCCATCTCTGTCAGGATCTGGTTCAGCACTCGATCTCCTGCACCTCCACCGTCCCCAGAGGAGTTGCCACGGGCCTTGGCAATCGAGTCAAGTTCATCGAAGAACATGACACAAGGGGCAGCCGCACGCGCTTTGTCGAAAACGTCACGGACATTCGCCTCGGATTCACCGAACCACATCGTAAGCAACTCCGGTCCCTTGATAGAAATGAAGTTGGCATTGCATTCGTTGGCAATGGCCTTCGCCAACATGGTCTTACCCGTTCCAGGAGGTCCATAGAACAGGACACCCTTGGACGGAGACATGCCATACTTGAGGAACTTCTCGGGGTGCTCGACTGGGTACTGCACAGTCTCCTGCAGCTCTTGCTTGACCTTCTCCAAACCACCGACGTCGTCCCACTTGACAGTGGGCACCTCGACGACGGTTTCCCGCAATGCAGAGGGGTTTGACGTGCCGAGAGCGAAGCGGAAGTTGTCCATAGTCACACCAAGAGAGTCAAGGACCTCAGCGTCGATGGTGTCCTCATCCAAATCTATCAAATCCATCTTCTCTCGGATCTGCTGCATCGCAGCTTCCGAGCATAGGGACGCGACGTCAGAGCCGACGTAACCGTGCGTGTCGGCAGCGATCTAGTTGGAGATGCGTGAAAACAGCATTCGAGATAGCAAAAGATGAAACGTACCTGCTCAAGATCAACATCCTCTCCAAGCTTCATGTTCTTCGTGTGGATGCGAAGAATTTCCAAACGTCCAGTGGGATCCGGAATACCAATGTCAACTTCGCGATCGAAACGGCCGAAACGACGAAGAGCCGGGTCGATGGAGTTGGGTCGGTTGGTGGCAGCCATTACGACAACATTAGAGCGAGCTTTAAGGCCGTCCATGAGCGTAAGCAGCTGAGAAACGACACGGCGCTCGACCTCTCCGTTAGTCTAGTAAATGATTGAATAAAAGCTTAATCCGAAATGTAAACGCATAGCTCACCTTCTCTCGCTTGGGAGCGATGGAATCGATCTCGTCGATGAAGATGATCGCTGGCGAGTTCTTCTCCGCCTCTTCGAACGCCTTTCGCAAGTTGCTCTCACTCTCACCAGCCATCTTGCTCATGATCTCCGGACCGTTGATGAGGAAGAAGAAGGCACCAGTCTCATTGGCCACAGCACGGGCCATGAGCGTCTTTCCTGTTCCAGGAGGACCAAACATGAGGATACCACGAGGAGGCTTGATACCGATAGATTTGAACAGCTGCGGGTGACGGAGAGGCAGCTCGACCAATTCTCGAATCTGAGCCATTTGCTTGCGGCATCCACCGATGTCGTCGTATCCGACATCAGCCAGGTTCGACTCCTCGTCCTCACGCTTCACGGGATCGCCCTCTGGAAAGGGGGATCAGCGACCTGACAGAGCTTACGCGTCACAGACATCCTCACCAGTGTGAATGACAGTGTCCTGAGCAACGATGCAGAATTCGGACGGATCGGTCTCGATGACCTTGAACTCGACTGTACGCATACCACCGCGCACGAGGAAAGTGTCACCCTTGCGCACAGGTCGGTAGGCTATTCCGGGGTAACCATTAGTCGTTAGTCCCTCCGAGGTTGATGAGCTCACCCTCGAGGAAATACGGCTTGAGGTATACATCGAAGATGTTCCCGCTGAGACCCTCGATAGAGTCATCGAAGGGAAGGATGTGTACACGCTTTCCGTATTTGATGTCATTGCATGGGTGCACGCCGACCAGATCCCCAAGCTTAACGCGCAAGTTGTTTCTGGCCACTTTGTTGACCTGGATGCGACCTTCCTCGACGTCATCGGAGGAGAGACAGATGAGCACAGTATCACGTCGCTTCTTTCCGCTGGAGCATTCAACTATAAGATCGCCATGGACGAAGCCCGGAAACCGGCTTACCGAACGATAACTGTGTCCCCACGGAAGAGACCAAGCACCTCCATGGTAGCGGGGTTGAGAGTAGCAACTTGCGATAGATGAGCACAAGCAGTTCATGAGACGCTTGAGCCGGGTGACGTACCGGAGTTGTCGTCGGTTGCCGCTTCATCGACTAGGAGTCGATTGGGCCTTCAAGTACGTTAGCCGCCTGGCCGCATATACCCCAACGCATGAGATACTTACGATTTCTTCGGCCGCAAGATAGCAGTAGAGACATCGTCGGGACCAGGTTGAGCGGGGGCACCACTAGGATCAGCCATGGCAGGAATGTGGTAGTGTGGAACAAGAAAGTGTGTTATAAAGGCAGCGCTCAAGGGACGCGTAGGCCTGTCACGAGTCACGTCTACACGTGTCCGAACCTTCGTGATCCTTCCACTTCCTTCTTTATCTGGCGAATTATTGACTCGATAGCACACGAAATATTCAGCTACGGCCTGGGTGACGCGTCTCCGGCCTCGATTACATCTCCTCATCTAAATCCAAGTCCTCTACGGGGAAATCGCCGACAGTCACCTTGTCTGGTCTTACAAATGCGCCATATTTGGGAGCGCATGAGAAGTAGCGTTCGCCTTGGACGCTGAGCATAGTTATCAGTGAAAGGATGCCGACACGGAGGGGATGACATACGAGCCGTCGTTCTTGCCCATGGGCTCGTCGTATTCAACGCCTACCCAAATTCCCTCTCCGTTCCCGAACCTAGTCTCACCCACGAACCGCACCGTCCCACGCTTGCTCAACCCAGGCTCGCTCGATTCCACCTCACACCTCGATCCAAGGGGAATGTTCATCTCCACGGGTGGACGTTGTGGAGCATCCTTCGGTGCAAATCGTCCGACTTTGTTTCGTTGCTTGTATGCAAGGACAGTATCTGATTCGAAGTGAGCTCAGTTCAGCGCCAATCTAGACACTCAAATTTCGCACCGGTTCTTGCCGCATATGCAGTGTCGCTGAGCTCGAATTTATCAACTTGCGTCACATCCGTGAGTTGCCCTGTAAATGAATTTGCCGGATTCGTGTCTATAACCTCGAGAGGCTGTATGAAAACCGCGATCGCATTCCGTCGAAAAGGGTCTTACTTTGAGGACATGCCAGTCGCGTAATCCGTAGAATCCCAGAGGCCGAGAATCATCGGCCAGTGTAGCGACGTCGGTTGGATCTTCAAGCGACGTCTGAATCGTAATGACTTGGCTCGATGTCGGAATTCCGGTGATCAGCTCGAGCTTGTTCTACGACTGTTTCAGTATCTCGCTCGCACGAGATGCAAACAGCTGTATGTGAGTTGACCTTCAATTCCTCCACCGTGATGTGAGGTTCGATCCGTCTTTCAGACTGTGTATCTGGTGAAACGACGAATACATTGACGCTCCCTGACATGTTTGAATATTTCTGAGGATATGTTCACTGCCCAAGATGCTGGTGGTCAGTGTGACGGTCAGTAAGCTCAAGCGCGATTGATCATTCGAGAGGTCAGATCAGATCGGTAGTCATCATTAATTCGTGGAATCAATCGTGGGGCGGTCCCCAGTTCGATCCTTAATAAAGTGGTTACGTATGAATGTATTGCTGATCTGAATGTGAGAAATCCATGCAGCAGCAAGCGGTTGAGCAACGCACCAGTTATATCTTATGAATGATCGTGCATATAGATTAACACCAGGTGATGCAAGTTAGACTGAAAGTCCACAAGCCTCCCTCGAAATCCAAACTCCAGCGTATGGCCCATCATGCTCTCTAATGGAGCCATCTTCGATCCTAGGAACCTGACCCAAGGAACATAGAGGGCTTTCGTTTTCTTGTCCTTTCGCAACGTTGAACCATCTCTCAGGCAGATGAAGGGCGTTGGTGACGTACCTAAACAAAGATCCCATTCCCCAGAAGGCTTGGAAAGGATCAGCGGAGATAGGGGGGGGATAAAGTGACGCACCTGGATATGCATCTCGCCCCCAGGATGCCGAAACTGGAATCCATACGACGACCAGCGAGCTGCGTCTCGTCAATAAGCCGATAACGTAGAGTGGACGGACTTGTCATACGAGGTATCACAGGGACGATATCTTTCCTGCGTTCCATGAAATTCGCTACACAGCTCCTGACTAAGGATGCACGCACTGATTGTTGATCCGCACCAAAGATACCGATCGGTCGACGTAGTCCGCAAAAGCTTGATTCCCGACCTGTCGTGACGAGATCAATGACATACATGATTGCGCTTGCGAGGCATAGAACACACCCGCGGCAAACCGAACGCGATGGTGTTGAATTTAACCGAGTCCGGAAGGTGCAGAGGGAGATACACCGAGTCTAACAAGGCGAGGGCTCCACCTGCCAGTCGCTATGGTTAGTCGGCGATATTGGTTGATAGAACGCTAAGTATACTTACCCTACAGATTTGAGACGATACGCGCAGAGCTACGAGGTAAGCACGCACCAAGGAATGCCCGACGAGGGTAACATGCTCGGTACCGTACCGGTCAATCGCCTTCCTGACGGCATCGAGGACAGATACAGCTTTCCTTCAAAGGCAGTTCAGTGTTTATTTGATCGATCAAAACGGGGCCGCATGACGTACTTGGCATGTTCATCTGCAAATCCGGAATGTACCATAATTGCGGGATCAGCGCCGAAAAAGAGAATGGGGTCAAGGTGTCGCTGCACAAATTCGGCGTCCGTGAGCAGCGGGACCCTACGGAGGGTCAACTGACGCGTCGCTCGTACGATTTGGAACAACCGACAGGTCCTTGGGTTCAGTCCCCTCGTGGGCGACAATGATGGTGTTGAGCGAAGGCGAGTATCCCACAAACCCTGGCGATCAGCGGTAAAGCTTGCGTGCATCCTCTTAGAAACTACGCGGCTTACAGTACTGGACGAATGCACCATCCCCACCTGCCGCAAACGGCTCAAAGTCTGCATTGGCGAGACAGTCCACTGTCTGCGCGTCAAGGCGGAATCAGACGCCATAATCTGCATTTCCACGTACCTCCACATGTCCAAGTCAACAACTCGCTCGCCGGACAATACGCGGCCGATGCGAAGTGGGTGTACGCGCTGAACGACGCGACTTGACTGCTCGAGATCGTGAGCGTGGTTGGAGTGGAAGCCTGCGCGCTGTGCGTCTCGGCGAGGACGATGAGGAGAGCTGCTAAGGAAAGACAAAGGGACAGCATGGCGCTCCTGCCAGTGAATCGACTGCAGCGCCGCGGTTGTCGCGAGATAGCTATGTCAAGGGGTAGTACTTATGAAGAAGCGCATTCACGGACACGTGCTCATCCAGCGAGACCCAAAAGAGGTTCTCTCTGGTAGCATACATTGAACCAAAAGAATACGGTCGTTACATATTAGGATTGCTGAATGTACGGAGCACAGACATCCGGGTTGTGCAGCTGAGACGGATCTTCCGTGAGATACCCCAATCGAACGCCTTCAAGATAACTCCTGCAAACCAGAAGTCGACATTCTACCCGATGAAACAGCATAGAGCTACTCACCATTCTTTCGACAAGTTGCCCGCAAGCGCGGATTTCTCGACCTTGAAGTTCCAGAACTAGACGAGAGATTCGAGATCATATGACGGATGAGAAGAAATTTGACGAACAATCCAGCCCGCGCCCTGACTATAGGCGAGCTTCTGGGCATCAGCCCATTGCATGAGAAACGCGTCCGTGGCCGAGAATTGCGTTGGCAAACCCCACTCTGCACTCGTCGAGTCTTTCATCGACGGATGAGCCAAAACCACGCACCGCCGAACCAAAGGGGACTGTTGCCCAGGGCAGCGTCAGCTTGGACTCGATTCAGATCTGTCCGCGGATCAGTTGCGCGCTCGGCTCGAGAGCGTATATAAGACTGACTGCATATACTCTGCATATAGGCAGTAGGGTTAGCATCAGCGACACCGCCGAATCTGGTCGCATCAGTTCCTCGGCCATGCCCCCAGACTGGGGAAACTCACACATAGTAGAGATGGTTGTCGTAGCCCTGCGGTCCATTGGCAGCATCTGCGGGATTCGCCGGATTGGTGTTCTGCCAGTTGACATCCATGAAGCTTCGTTACATGTGAGTACGGGCATTTGACAGCACAGAAGGGGCACCTTGTGACCAGCGGACCGTCTCTCTGAGACAAGCCACCCACACCCAGCTCCAACAGAATCGGGACAGCATCCTGCAGAACACTCCGCACCTCGGGCGTAAACAGCGTCTCCTGATCGGCCACGTTCGGCATCATGGCGGTGAAGTTCCCATTTCCCGGTGCCGGCACGATGGGAAACGCTGGGCTTCGGATACCCAAGAGGAGCTCTGTGGCCCTAACCACTCTGACAAAGTTCTTGTCAAAGTCGCCCAACCCGGGTGTCATCGCAGCATTCATGATGGGCTCGTTGACAGCCTCGATGGCGACGACGTTGCTGAAAGCAGGGTCGATGTGCGACAGAGTAGTCATGACGGCTGTCCAAATCAGGGCCCGGTGGTAGTTGTAAGCGGTCTAGACAAATCAGCTTCAAGGCCACTCGTAGGCCAGACTGTAAACACACGTAGAACTGAACATTGCTGGTGCACTGTCCCGTGAACATCTGGTTGGCGGTCTGCACACCTGTCGCGACGGTTCAGTGACGTTCACCCAGTTTTCACTGCTACACACCAGGCAGCGCGTGGTGATCGAGGATAGCAACAATACCCGCGTCATTCAGCGCTTGCAGGCCCCGGCGCTGAGACAGATGAGCGACAGATCTGAATGACAGCTCATGGGGCACACCAGCTGCTTCAATCCGCCTCTCGGATAGAACTCTGTCTTGCGGTCGACCAAGGCCTCGATGATCCAGTACCCAAGCTTTTTCAGGGCTTCAGAGATGCCTTTGAGTAGGGAGAAGTGAAGTTTACCGGAATGCGGACTGTGTTGATGTTGACATTCGCCAAGGCGTCCACATCCGCCTGGCTGAACCACGTCTCCCAATGGGTCTTGAAGATGCCGTCAACTGTGTCGGGATACTTCTTTGCAAACGCGAACTCGCTGGCAACGCATGCCGAGCAGACGCTGCAAGATTCGCCACCCATGTCTTTCCATTCTGAACGAAATCAGGCACACGACGAGACAGAGGAGCCAAAAAAACATACCTTGCGGGAGCATCCATGATTCAAGGACAAGCCTGACGCATTCAATTATCGCAACGACGAAGTTGCAGCGCACTGACCATGAGCCCAAGTTGACGCCGTAGATCTTCTCTGGGAACCCAGGCAGTTTCGAACTGGTGCCAGAAAGTACCCCCAGGCCCAAGATGAAAGATCCCCAAGCAAAGACGGAAGAGACCATTGTGTCGACCCAGAGTTGCTGACCTTCTGCCCTCGCGAAGCTGCTCAAATAACCACCGTCCTACCCTCTAACGCCCCCCAACAATTCGGGCCATAGTCGGAACAAGAAGTTGGATGGGTTTTAAGTGTTGACAGAGAAGAGTTGTTTCTCCGCCCTGGGCCTGAAGGCTGAGAATTCGGACGAGGAACCGAATCTGCCCGGCCATGTGCTTGGAGTTTCACGCCTCTTCTACCGTGGACGGCCGCAGAAGCACCCTCGACATCTGCAGAGCGGTGTATAGTAGGTTCAAGGGCTTTGGGACGGACATGGAAAGTAAGCTGCTAGAGAGCGACGACATGGCGGACCGGCCGTGGAAGGCGAAATGAAAGTCGACTGTCAGGTGCTACTAACAGCTGGATGCGCTTCAATCTTCGATCCTGATGCGGACGCAATCAGCTCGAAAACGGTCCATATGCTAAGCTCCAGCGCGAACGAATCCCAATGAGGTTAACGCTTGATTTTAAGTACATGTGAGTGTCCATCAGAGGACACCGAGGTCCGATTGGTCCATGCACACGCAAGAACTAAAAAGCCTCCACCGATCAAGAGCGATTTGCTACTCATGTAAGCTTGTCCTGAGGAATCCTGGGCTGGATTCTGACCCAGATGTGGAAGTCACTCGATCCTGACTGGTCTGATTCCTACACCGTCGATTTCGTGGCTAAACGCGTCCGAGGTCCATTCCTCGAAAAGGCAACTCGAGGATCAGACGTAAAAAGCATGGGAGATGATTTGTGCTTACAACCTAGGTGCATTTACGTACACCAATTCTTGTCATTTGCTCAACGGTGTTACGTCACTGTCATGTGCTTGGCCCACTTCTCCCAGTCCGGATAAGTAAGTACTTGCGAGGGCGATGTCTGCACGGTCAGGCAGATTCCATGATGCGCGTCAATCTTACGACACCGCAAGGGGCATTCATCTTCAGAATGTTTCGTGATGCTTACTGGACCGGCTCTGCGTTCCCCCGAGTCCACGCGCAGTTCGCGGAATGCTAGCAATGAATTGGATTTCTGAAACTGGATCCGGACCCGCCGACCAACCGACGTCGCGGCAGACCTTTACCACGAGGGTTGATGCATATGTCGGGCAGCTTTGACCGCACTTCGATTCACTGCTGCTTCATGCTGATAGACTGGTCGTGGACCGTGGTTGAAACATGCAGAGCGAGCATTTCATGTGAGTGCAGGCTTTTGTCAAGCCAGGGACAGTGTACATAACATGCTTTCTTGTGCCTAGCCCACGGCGTCGGCACGTTCGCCCCAGATCATTGTCGATGTAGCAATAGCACGACTCCACACTACACTGCATTACGGCTCCAGACCCCCGATCTCACGTACAAAATCGTGCCGGGCTGAGTACCGCTTTATAAACGGCGCGCAGGCTGGAACGCAGAGCCGTGACTCAGCCAACCTCCACCACCATGCTTATCTCCCTCCTCGCATTCGCGGCCCTCGCTGCCGCACAGAGTGTCACGATCCTGCAGCAGGCATTGTCTGCGTCAGGTGTCGCTGCCTCGTACCCATCAAGCGGCAACTATTCAGCTGAGAGTCAAGCTTGTCAGTCGATCCCTGCGCGAATTAGTGGCCCGACGCTGATGGATTTGTTGCAGTCAATCAGCGGTTTACTGTGATGCCGATCGCCATCGCATTTCCGACTTCTGTGCAACAAGTGTCCGCCGCAGTCAAAGCCGGCGCTGCTCAAAGTCTCGAAATCGTTGCCCGAAGTGGAGGAGTGAGATTACTTTCTTGGTCCCAGGGTACCGCCGATATTAACGTCAACAGCATTCCTATATTGCGAACGGATTAGGCGGAAACAATGGGGCCCTTGTCATTGATTTGAGCAAAATGAAAACAATCTCCGTTCGAGCCTCCAACGGCACGGCGTTAATTCAGACGGGCAATCGTCTGGGCGACATTGCACTTGCACTCAATGCGGCAGGTCGAGCTCTCCCGCACGGAACATGCAGTTTCGTAAGTATTTCCAATGTCTGACTTTGGTGCATACCGGTTAACTCTATCAGGTCGGCATTGGCGGACACAGTGGTTACGGCGGATTCGGATTTACCAGTCGCGCTTGGGGTCTGACGTTGGACACGATCAAATCTGCTACGGTTGTCCTCGCTAATGGGACGATCGCAACTGCGTCTCCAAGCAGCAACTCGGACCTGTACTGGGTAATCGTCATCCACTCAGTATGTTGAGCGTGTCTGACTGGTTGAACCCAGGCGATTCGGGGAGCCTCTCCTTCCTTCGGGATTGTCACCTCAGTAGAAGTGCAGACATTCGCAGCACCCCCGGCTGTCACGGTCTTCGCGTACAATTGGGATAGCCTGAACATCAGTTCAGCGTCTGCTGCAATTTCTGCATTCCAGACTCTGTCCAAAGCCAACATTTCGGCTGCCTTTGGAGGAGAACTCAACTTTGGGCCAGGGCCGTCGAGCTCGCATGTTAGCTTGGAGCTCACCGGTGGATTCTATGGGCCCACTGCTGATTTCAACTCCAATGCCCTGCCCATCATCAACACATTCCTCAAAGCGCTGCCGAAAGTGTCCTCATCCACGGTCACTCGTGACATGACATACATCAACTCTGTCGCGCATTTCGCGGGCTCTGATCCATTGAATACCACCACCGCAACCGAGACCCGGGACACGTTCTACACAAAGTCTCTCATGACCCCTCAGGGCTCACCAATGTCCCCAGCGGCGATAAAAGCCTTTGTGTCCTACATGGCCAACCAGGGCTTTTCCTCTGACACCGTAAGTAACCCTCCAAGCCATCGATCAACTTAAACTCAAGATCGCCAGGCTTGGTTTGTGCAACTCGAGCTTTACGGCGGAACTAACTCGGCCATCAATGCGGTCCCTCTTGATTCGACCGCATTTTCCAAGCGAGACACTCTTTTCACGATCCAGCTGTATGCCTCGTCGTCAAACGGGTCTCCTCCGTATCCGTCGGACGGGTTTTCCTTCTTGGACGGGATGGTCGCAACGATCATCTCCAACAGCCCTGCCAACTGGAGCTACGGGTGAGTGCTGGCTTTGGTCTTCGGTCCTTGGCTGATATCGTCCAGGGCGTATCTCAACTACGCTGACGATCGCCTCGTGAATGGTCTGTCCGATTCCAATTCCTTGTCCCGAGCGAATCTCATGCTTTCGACAGCGTCGACGCTCTACTACGGGTCTCACTATCCCCGACTGAAAGCCCTCAAAGCTGCCCTCGACCCGAATGACCTCTTCCGCTTCCCGATCGGCGTCTGATATCGGGTTATGACCGAATACACATAATTGCCTGTACTTTGTGATTACTTACGACGAACAAATAACACACGAAAAATACTTTGACACTTATTCCTTGATCATTGGATGCGTATTGTGTCGTCCGAATAACTCGGAACATGGCTCTGTGCTATCTCTCGAATTCAGGACTAGCCGCAAGCAGCCGGGCTGTTGAGAGCACTTTTATTATAATGGTCTCTTTCCGGATTTAGAAAGTGACATTGACGTCTCATCATTTGATGACTAGCGACGGAACCAATTGAAATAAACTCCCGCGTCAGGCCGTCAGCGCTTCATTTGTTCAACGTTCTTCACGCACTTGATTCTGTCTGTCCCGAATTGACGCGCTCCCTCTGTGCAGCATGGATCCGCCGTTGTCGCCCATGGTACGACGGCCATCCCTGCGAGGCCGATCGCCTGCAGTGCCGATGGGTCCCCGGTCGCGCAACGTTTCGTCGCGCAATTCCATACTCCCTGCCGAGACGATCAGGTCTCCCACCCCCGGCCAGTCCATGGCGTATCCCTCAGGGCCTTTGCCTCAGTACACCGAGCGGCCGACGACTCCGTACTCCACGTTATCAGGGTCCTCAGACGCCAAGTCCTCGCCGCGCACGTACGCATCTGAGCCCCCTCCGTCCATTTCGGAGGCCCCAGAACCACTCCCCGCTACGACGCCGACACCGACACCGGCACCAACACCGACACCGCTACCAGCAGATTCGCCCGCGCCCACCGTCGTGTCCGCGCCCAAGATGGTCCCTCTCGCTCCTCCGGTGCAGATCAGTTTCGAGTCCGTTCCTGTCAAGTGGAAGGGGCTGCCACTCGAAGCCGCGTTATGTTCGTGCCTATTCAAATGCCCAACCCGCCCCCACTGAATCAGTTTCAGGGACATTCGATTCGAGGGAGCTGCAGGTGGGCGTATTCCAACCTGGTTCCGTCATCACTACTGAATGCATACATCGCAGGACATCGTGTCGCGTGCCATCCGGGGCTCCTCCCGCGAATCATTCATCCGCGTTCTGTCTGTCGAGAATCTCGATCGCGTCCTTCCGTCCGAACTCGAACGCCTGACCGCCTCGAAATCGACCCTGCAAGCCAAGTACCGATTCAATATGCAGCGGCGGACGATGCTGCTGCAAGCGCTGCACTCGGCATCTGGCTGTCAAAACCAAGACAGCGATGCGGAGCTCATGGCAAAGCTTACGAGTCAGCTCTCAGAAGTGACGTCGGAGTGCGACCAGCTGTTGGAGCAGCTTCTGCAGATCGCAGATCAGATGGGCCAGATCACCAGTTTGCAGGACGTCCACTGGGCCAGTGCGCTCGCCATTGCACTGCGGAAGGTCTGTGGGCTCGTCTGACGTGTTGTTGCCTCGATTCTGATCTGTGTATCAGCTCAACGCTAGTTATGGCCGGCGAACGTCAGATTTGCTCAATGCACGTGCAAAGATTGCGACCCTGGAGGCCGAATTGAACGATGCATGGGGCCAGGCTGAAACGCTCGCAAAGGAGCTTGATGAGTTTGAGGCAGCTGGTTCTGATGACGAAGGAGAGGCCGTGATCGAAGTCGCAGAGGTGATTTCGTTGAATCACCGCAAATCAGCTTCGGCATCGTCCAGTGTGCGATTGCTGGGCCAGAAAGAGATGCTCAGCCTTGACATCGTTTCGCGCATGGCCTCCGACGCAGCCACGCCCGCGTCTCCCATGTCACCCGTGTCCCCCACCATGTTCATCACTTCGCCCATCGAGCGCATAGAGCAGACGACGGCTTGGACAGAGACGGACGACTGTTCTCCAGCGCAATCCGCTCAAGACATGTTGCCGACACCCAGTGCCTCAGAACTCGAAGACCTCCTTGACCTGGCTGCCAAGGAAGCGGAGATGCCCGAGTCGCCTGTCAGTCCCGTTGACACGCCCGTGACCCCGTTCATGGGTATCCCGATGCCGCAAAGCGACGCCGTCAGTGTCCGCAGTGGCAAAAGCTCTCGCACGCATCGCAGTCAACGGGGGAACGAGACCAGTCGAGTGGACAGTGTTTCCGCAGCGCGGAGACGCAGCGTGCGAACTTCGATGGGTAGTCTCCGTCTCCCCAAGAGCAGCAAAGGCCCCGAGCCTCCTGTGCCATTACTGCCGTCTCTCAGTGCCTCGAGCAGTTCAAGTGTCGGTCCCGATCATAGGTCGGTCGTTGAGTCTTTTCTGGACTTTGGCCCGGCGTCGGATTCAGAAGCGGACGATTCCAAGGCAGCAGGTTCTCAGAAGAAGAAACGAACCAGTATCGAAGATCTCTCAGTGGTGACAGACACACCACCCCTGCGTCTGGTGCCGGTCCAGCAGACGCGGGACGACATCCAGATCATGCCGCGAAGAAGTGCCGTCGAAACCGAACTGGTCACACCGCGCCGTTCGCAATTCTCGCTGGACCACCAGCATCCTTTTGCGATTGAAGGTAGGGACCATCCATCTGTCACTTTGCTCGAACTGTTACTGATTCAACCTCAGCACCCTCGAATCCGTCTATACCGTCCATCTGGCTGCTACAAGACACTCCGAAGACGCCAGCCGAACGGGTCGACCAGTTGATGATGCGAGAACGGGGCCATGTCAAGATGGGATCCCTCCAACGACTCAAAACTCTGACAAAACGCTACTCTCTGCCTTTCCCCGCTCCGACGCTCAGCCGTTCCATGCGATCCAAGAACGCCACCTAGCCGTCCGGGCCCTGCTGCTAATCTCTCTGCTGTCTATGTCTGTATCTTACTGAATTATGTAGCATTGGAATGTACATCATATATTGTACGATAATATGATATCTATCTATCATTCGTGTGCGGCGAGCGCGAGCGCGCCCGCGTTGGTGATCAACGTGAACTTGGCACCCTCCTCCCCAGCGGTGGTCGCTTTCGCAGCGGGGGGAAGACCAGACGAACCGAGTCGTCCCGCTATCAGCAGACTCTTGGCGAGCGTAGAGATCTGGGCGTCATGTCAGTCATCAATGACATTCTCTCTCGAACAGGGCGCACTGACACCGATGCCCCAGTCGGACGAGAACTTCCCCAAGAGGCCGATCACCATTCTGCGATTGAATCATTCGACGTCGAAGTGCATTGCGTGCGACAGCCACGACTTACCCGCCGATAGCCTCAGCCGGTCTTGATTCCGGGCGGTTGGTCCCGCCGAGGTGCCCAGGACGGAAGACGATGGTGTCGTCGTAGCCCAAAGCAGCCAGACCCAGCTCGGTCAGCCCCTTGCTGCGCGGATAGAGGAACGAGGATTTGGGGTTCGAGCCGATGGACTGGAGCGAGACAAGTCAACTGGTGAGGTCATGCGGTGGAAGGACATTCGATGCGCACCGAGACATACACCAGGCGCTGGGATGTGCCCGCCACCTTCGCCGCCTTGGCAGCATTGACCACATATCTGTCGCACGAAAGTGAGCACAACGTCGAGAGGCCACGAACTCCTCCCTCCCCACGCACTCGCGGTCAATCTTCTCGAACGCAGCCGAGCTCCCAGCGTTCTTCGCGGTGGTGCCCATGGTGATGAACACGACGTCCCACTTGCCCTCGGCCAGCCCCGCCTCGTCGAGCTTCTCGAAATCAATCGTCTTCTGCTCGAGCTTCTCCGTCGCGGGCAGGCCGTCGAGCTTGGTCACGCGCCGTCCGTACTCGCCGACTTTCGAGTACGCCGGGCTGGAGAGCAGATCCTTGAGCAGGTAGCCGCCGACCTGGCCTGTGGCACCTATGATGAGTGCGGTTTTCGTGGGGAGAGACATCGTTGGACTGTGTGGGAGAGAGCGCTGACGTCGTTGCCGACTGATACCGTTCCGTTCTTATGCGATCGAAGACGTGCGGATCTCGGCCATGGCTCGGGCTGATGGGCTGGAAACACACGCAGGCGTTGTCACCTGTAACGTTCGCAGCTGTCGCGTTCCAGCGTTCGGACGGTATCTGGCCTACTACACTCGCAACTTGTAAGGACTGCGACGGATTTGGTGACACCCGGATCACCCTCGGATGAGCATCCGCGGGGTTTGATCCGGGTTGGTGTCACGGATTACGGGTGATACAGCGGGTAGATCTGCGTTTCTTGTCACCCGCAGGCCTAATTTAATGCTAATAACTGGTATAGCATCTGAATGCAACAACATTTTGCGGAAACTTGGGCCTATGTCCTATCTCTGGGTATAGAGGGGCGCTTTCAAGTTTTTTCAAGAGAGAGAGGGGAGGAGAATAAGAGAGACTTACCAGTATTACTAGCCTGTATCTACGCTCCTTGTCACAAAATCTAAGCTTCAAGTGCACCGGCGGAGCGTAGATGTTAACCAAGTCCTAGCCCTATATTTGGCCAAATCTGATCTGATAGCGCTTTCAAGCCTGTCCTTGATCGGGTAAAGCCTCAAAACGGCGTCAGGATCTGGCCAACCGTTTTCAAGATGGCACGTGCATGATTCGGCCGAAAACGCTGTCTCCTCCGAAACGCCTCCCTGCTCGTCTTCCATCAACCTGCCATCGACCAACACCTATCCAGGAACGCTCACTCTCCGCGCGCCATTTGACAAACGTCCGTTTCTGCTTGTTCGCCCGAACCAGACCGACTCGACTCAAAAGGCCATGTTGGGGCCAATCGAACGGAGGGTCATCAGTAGAAGTGGAGGGGACGATTTTTTGGGGCTGCAAGTTTGTCAGGAATCCTGTCTCTGGTGCGTGCTTTACCCCCAAGATCCAACGTGTCATCCTCTGGCAAGAACCGCATACATTCCTGTCTCTTGTACAGAAGACAGGCCGTTGTGTTCGGCTGTTCCCGAGTTTGCGCGCTTGCGCTTTGTGCCTTGCTTCGCTACAAAGGGCATAGCAGAAAGAGAGGGGGAAATTTGAGGTGACTCCACTTGATCGAAATGGTGGCACTACCACCTCAGTTACCACCGCCAACCCCCCATATAGACCCCGCGGGGGACCTCCTGGGTACCCTTAGACGTAGCTCTATGGGTACCCAGGAGGTCCCCCCCCGCGGGGGTACAGGGGGCAGCTGGCCATTTGGGGCAGGGGGATGGGCGGGGGTCAGGACGGGGGTCAGGA